ACACCGAGGGACATTTTGGTTGGCAAAAGACTTTAGCCAACCTCATGCGCGTGTACATATGGCTTGGGATGAAGGCCGACTACATAGAGTATGTTCGTAGTTGTAAGGTCTGCCAGAGAAACAAGACCTCTACACGTTCCCCTCTAGGTCTTCTCAGGCCCTTGCCTATTCCTGACCAGCCAGGGGACTCAGTGTCCATTGACTTTATGGACACCCATATCAAGAGTAGGCACGGCAAGAGCCAAGTCATGGTTATAGTTGATAGATTTAGCAAGTATGCAGTTTTTGTTCCGTTGCCTGCGAAGGCACGCACATAGTTAGTCATCCAAACGTTTTTTGATCATTGGATCAGTGAAACATGGGATTCCGCTGTCTATAGTTAGTGATAGAGACACCCGTTTCACTAGTCAGAATTGACAGGAGTTTATGAGAGTCTATGGGTCTAAGTTGTTGATGTCATCTGAACGTCATCCAGAGACTAACGGTCAGACTGAACAAATGAATAAGATCCTGCAACAATTTCTGCGTATGTACATTAGACCGGATCATGTCAATTAGGATGAGATGCTCCCAAAGGTAGCCAGTGCATACAACAATAGTGTGCATTTAGCTACTTGTCGCACTCCCAACGAGTTGCATAAGTCTTTCAAACCACGTAGACCATTTGAAGGGCTTAACCGGGACCAGATTCAGAGGCTACAGCCCGGAACTAGGGAGCTTGCACTTCAGCACGAGAAGGAATTAGCTACCGTTGTAGAGAACCTCAGGAAGGCCCAACATCGGATGATAGAGCAAGCCAACAAGCACCGTTGCCCGTCGCAGTTTCAAGTAGGCGACTTAGTCTGGGTCAAGTCTAAAGAATTTGCTCCTGAGGAGAACATCTCACATAAGCTATTACCAGCGTACAGAGGACCGTGGCCAGTCGTAGAAGTCAAGGGCGGAGAGGATGGACCGTCCTACACAGTAGAAATCCCAGCACACCTCCACACCTACCCCGTGTTTCATGCGTCAAAGTTATTGCCATGTATCATAAGCCAACAGTTTCCATCTAGAAGACCCATGATCCCTCTGGACATGGACGGAAGATACGACATTGACGACATTGTAGGTGAAGACGTATTCAGAACAGGAGGTAGAGGTCGTCCACAGAAACAGTATAAGGTTGGATTTGCATATCAGGAACCCGAGGACGATCGCTGGTTTACTAGGGGACTGAACTTCTAGAATCAGCTCCCGACATAGTGAGAGCCTACGAGAGAGAAAGGAAGGAAAAAGGTCCTGCCTTAGACTGAGCTATTCTTGGAGGACCTCGACTTTAGGCCGACGGGAGTGAAACGGTATTCACCTGTTAGCAGTAGCGGATGCAGGTCCCATGGCTCGATCCCTAGTCCTCACTTTACCTGTGTACAGTATCTGTGTCAGAGCAAGTGTTTGAACCCGTGACCTGTGTTTTGAGAGTTGTTGTTGTCTGTCGTAGGCCTGTGTAATGGTGGGGGTTCGATCCGTAGATCTGTCAAGTAGGAGTCACTGCCCTGTAGAGGTCGTAGCTGTAGGAATCCTGAAAGGGCAAGGTCGTAGCTGCTACAGTCCTGAAAGGTCAAGGCCGTAGCTGCTATAGTACTCGAAAGGCCAAGTCCACAGACTTCCGGAAGGTCCGGAAATGGCCTTCCGAAGCTGCCTCACGTTTCAGTCAGTGGTGAGCCCAGCTGCATTACGTCGGCAGTGTGGCTGCATTGAGTTGGCAGTGCAAACCCATGCAGTCAGCGGTACCGGTCCAGTCAGTCCCAGTCCAGTCAAGCAAGTACCATCAGGGACTGTGTGCACCATAGGCCTGGTGGAGAGGGGCAGACCAACGAGTTACA